CATTTTTTGAATTTTTAAATATTAATAGTGTGGAATTTTCAAGTTAAGCAAGTTAGCCTCCAATGTAACTGTAACTAGATTACATGCTATCTATATTTCTGAAAAAAAAGTACATTTAATAAATAAATAAATAATTTATAATAAATTCTATATTGTAAAAAATAACTAATTCATATTTTATAAGGATTGCTTAAAATACAATTCATATTTAAAATTTCAAGTAAATTTTTTTTAATTAGCTTTAATTGCTGAATTACTGACTTATAATTTACTGAATAATACTAATTATATAATCATTGAAGTATTTTTGTTATATCTGTATTAGTTTTAATTTTATATTTTATAAGGATAGTTTAAAATGTAATTCATTTTTAAAATTTTAAGTAAATTTTTTAAATTAGTTTTAATTGCTGAATTACTGACTTATAATTTACTGAATAATACTAATTATATAATTATTGAAATATTTTTTTCCTATCTGTATTAATTTCAAATTGCAAACGATGGGAAATCCCCAATTTAAAATGATAAATAAAAGTATTTCATAACAAAAAAAAAGGAAAATACTCTTTCATGTAGAAAAAAAAACGACGCTTCTAGTTTATTCTCTATGTTCTCAAGTTGTGTAACAGTATGCTGAAATGGCAGTAAACTGCTTGAGAGAGAAAACAGAAATAGGTCTATATTTCATTTTGAACATTACATAAAATGGAGGTCGTAAAAGTGCTAAGGATGTCTAATGGAACACCATTAATCAACGGAGATGTTCCTGAAGGGAACTTAGTCTGTAAAAAAATGACGGCTTCTACAAAATATATCCACTTTTGAGGTAAATATTTCCCGGATTCATTGGTAGAAAATTCTAAATGAGAGCAATTTTTCAGTGTGAATAATATCCTGTGGCTACTTTTTTTTCTTCCAATTTACGTAATCTAAGTAATGGTTGATTTTAATTTGGATGAATTGAAATGAATTTGTTACAAAACTAGAGTAGAAAGTGTACCATTTTTAAAGAATTAGACTAAGAAATTGGGAAAAATTGTTTTGAGATGGTTCATTGCAGTTGTGTGACGACATAAAACCGTATCTGTAACTAAATAACGTATATCTACCTTGGGATATTTCATGTTTCTTTTTTATTCAGGTTTATTTTCTTGTTGTTTGGTTGTCGTGGTTCCTTAGTTAGATTCCTTAGTTACAATGCTTAGGTTTTGTAGTTGGGTTCTCGTAATATTTAAGCATAAAATTGCTGCTGCTAATATAATAAACAGTGTTTGTAATAAATATATACATATTTCGAAATTAAACGTCTTGACTTTGGAACATTAATGCTTGTATTAGTTTTGGAATTTTTCATTTCGCTTTTTAAAGAGTAGTATTAACCGATACGTATATCGGCTGAATAGAAACACCGATATATTAATAACAAGATTCAAAAGATTGAAATCTCTTAGTCTGTTATAGTTTCTAACAGTAAAAGGTTCGGTTTTTAACAGTTGGTGTGATAGCTGGGTGCTCGATTAGACTGCACATTCTCGATCGTATCTTTATAATGTAAAGACTTTTAAATTTTCTCATAAGGACGAGTCGCCTGCATCTTGAATTAATTTATTCGAAAGCTATAGATGGTAGACATTATTGACACATCACAGACAAATATTAACAAGGACATAACATTTATCGAAAACCGCCATACATCTTTTTTTAAATCTCGACTGTGACTTCTCTTCAGGAAAAAAAAAGGAAAATTAAAAGAAAGTTTTCCGCGCCATCTAGTGGCCAGTTTCTTACAATGACCTGAATTCTCCTTAATAATTGATGTGCTTCCGGTGGTTTCAGAGTCGAAAAAAAAATTCCTTTCACTGTCGGGGGTGGACTGGAAGTCTGATGTGGTGATCATGCGTTTATTACACCCATCTGCTCATCTATATAAAAAGCAGTGTAGAACGCGCTTTCGTTCTTGCTGTATTGTGTTCCGATAACTAATGAGGATCAATCTCAGACATCCGCTTATAGTTCATTTAAATCAACAAAGAGCATCCAAAAATTGAATGAAGAACACAGTTTAGCAAATCACATATGTAACGAATTTAAGAAATATTAAATAAGATAGATAATTGGGATAATGAAGGTATTCGAGTCGTATGGGATAACATGGTAAATAAGCACATTGAATAGAAAAAAATTATATTGGGAATTTTATTTTATATTTTATAACCGTCGTTGAACACCTGACCCAATTTCTGGGTTTACGACTACTAATAACAAGCTTAAGCCCGTCCCGCCATCCGGGGGGCGACTTTACACATTGTCGACTCCCGGGCACCTCCACTCGCCGCGGTTTTATTTGTCAACTGTTTCACCGCCTTATCTAGTAACCCTCACTCAGAGGCAACCCTACGCTCGCCTCAATACAGCACTCGCAAAAGTCATAAATGAATCTTCGCGCTCATGGATATTTTTAAAAGTTGCTTGTTGAATTAAGTTAAAATTTTATCCTCGTTTAAGACTAGAAAAATTCAAATAACGAGAACAAAATACTTCGTTCTTCTTAAAAGAAAGAGGAAGAAAAATTTACATACACACAATTATTTCAGTTAATTACATACATATTTCGAATAAAAAAAATTTCAAATAGAAACTATTCTTGTAAATTAAATAAAAATCTGGAGTAATAAAATAGTCAATTATTCAGAATAATAAATTTCTTTTGAATATCTTACTTAATAAACAAAGTTTAAAAAAGTAATTCCCTATATAAATCATCACATTATTAAGTGTACATATTTTTAAAGATAAAAGTATTAAAAAAAATTTTACTCAGTTTGAAAAATAATTATTTTCATTTCCTTCATTTTTACCAGGTTTTATCAATTATTTCTATTTTGGAAAAAATATGTATTCTTCAAAATGCTTACAATATCTTAAAAAAATTGCATATATTTTATACTGAACAACTTTTGATTGACAGTATTTACTTCATAAGAGAGTCTTAAAAAAAATTTGAAAATATTTTCATTAAATTTGTTCAAATATTTTCTGTAAAATGCGTGCTATTAGGAAAACAAGGAGAAAAATATTTTTAGTGAAGCCATTACATAAAGAAACAAATCTATGACATATTCACTACTATTTTCGTATAGTTAATTTATTTTTTATAACATCAAATCATATTTATTGAAACTTAAAGTTGTGGCTGCTTAACTTTTTTTAATGTTTCTTAAATTGGTCAGGGAAAATTCCGATATTTTCCATTTTTCTTGCTTCTATCACTATTATTTGTATATATCTGAAATTACTCACCTTCGTTTTAATTGTTTCCTAATTAATTTTATCATATATTTTGCTATATATATTTATCCTTTCATTCTATGCTTCATTAATTTCATAACTTATCCATCTTGTAACTTTTTATTCATAATTTTATAACAACTTTAGCTTATTAGATTCTATAACTCAACAATTGGTCTATATATTTTATAATTTTTTTTATTCAATTTTTGGGCTTCTAAATAAGATATGGAAAAAATACTATGAAAATTATTACATTTATTGTCAATCTAAAATTAGGCCTTTTTTCCTCCTAAGTGCGAAAACACATTTACTAACTTAATGTAACGTAATTTAACACGATTCATCT